CAACCTGAGTGTTATGAGCCCGGATACTTATCAGGATCTGCCTTCCTCCCTGCCCTGTTGTTGTTGTTATTGCTTTTTGAACCTTTTTGGTGTTGAGTCAGTCACAACGCCACAAAAACGCCACAGCCGAATCGACTACACAACAGCCCGTGTTCTCTCACCAATATGCCATCTACTTCCACCTCTGTTGAAAGGATTGTTCTATCCTCCCCTGCCGACTGGAAGCACTGGTTCTTCACCGTCGAAACAAAGGCCTACTCCGGCAATGTATGGGAATATGTCAACCCCAACAAGCTATTTTCTGATGATTCCACGAAACTGAATAAGCCTGGCCGGCCTGCACTACCGGCAGCAGCAAGCAGCGCGGAAACATGGACCCCGGCGGCTAAATTAGATTGGAAACAAGCCCAAGAGAATGCTAAGAAGGAGGAAGATTGCTATAACGCTAAAATCGATGCTATTAACAAACTCCGAGTCTATATTATTAAAACGGTCGTATTGCACTATATACTATTTATTAATAAGGCTAAGACTATATATAAAATGCTAATTAGCCTTAAGAATTAGGTAGCTCTATCTAATTAGCTACGCCGCTATAAACTCCGCATGCTATAGCAGCAGCAGCAAAAGTTTCTAAAGGATTTAAATATTAAATAATAGCTATAGGAATAGATAGTTCTCTATAGAGAATATAAAGAATATTAACTACTTAAAGCTGCCGATAATTATCTATAACTTAACTTCCTGCTTTCTATTTAGCTAAAAAATCCCGAATTTTTAATATACTGGCGTAATAAAATACACCGCTATATAGCTAGGGCTAAGAATACTCTACTACTTTAGGAACTAGTTAATTTATTCCGTAACTAAAAATAGGAGGCTCTAGCTATTATAGGTAAAATTACCAGCTATTCTATATTTATAATAATATTTAATAGTATAGAATTAAAGCTACTAAGTACGCCGGCAGCTATATAGGCTACTATAATAGTATCTATACTAGCCGCTATAATAGCCTTTATAATAGCCTCTAAAGCTAAAAATAAGCTCCTAGAATATATCTATAAAAAACACTATTTTTTCCGAAATTACCTATATATTTATAAAAATAAACAGCTAAATAAATAGAAAAGCAACCTAGCTATAGTAGCTAAGCTTAAGGAAAACCTTAAGAATTAACCTAAAAAATAGCAGGCAATAGTTTAAAAGCTATAGGAAATAGCTAAGGCTAAAAGGCCTAATACTAGATTAGTTTCTTACTTTATAATTACTATTATTCCGTATAGAATATTCTATTTATCTACCTATAGCCTATATAATAGCGTGCTTTTTAACTATATAGCAACTATATATATTTTTAACTACTAAAGCCGGTTTATTAGCAATTTAATACTATTAAATAATACTTACTATACTAGTAGCTTAATAGTATTAATTGCTAGCTATAGAATAGCTAAGTATTACAGCTTAAACGGTAAAGCTTACTGCACAGCGTAACACGTAATATTAGGACCCGGCGAGAGGCCTTATTATAAGGGCCTATGCGAGCCTTAGCAGGAGTATACCTGCTGACCGCCGCCCTGCCTTTTTATAGCTTCTTAAGCTACGTCTTATTATTTAACCCGCCTGCCTGCTGTGTATTATAGAATACGTAGTAAATTTAGTTATTACTTCTACCTACCTGCCTAAGCTAGCTAGGGTAATCCTGCCGCCCAAGACTGTAATATTACGTAGCTCTTTACCCACCTAGCTATCTACCTGCACTGCCGACCTAATATCCTACTTTTTTCCCCTAGTCCTGCCGGACAGTAAATCCGCGTTTGCCGCCTATATTACTAACTATATACACGAATAGTATAAGTACTGCCGCTAAATATACGAATATATTAATACTGCCTAGGAAAGCCTTACTAAAAACTACTAAGCCGCACTCCGCATATAAGCCTTAGAATTGGAAATTAAGGAATATAAATAATAGAGCAACTAACTAAAGGCATAATTATAAGCTGTCTATAAATACTAGAAAAAAGAAATAAAAAAGCTTACGGATAAACTAGCTTTAGCCCTTACTAAAAGATAGAGAGCAATTAATATAGCTATACCTACTATCCGCACCGCTTTATAAACCCTAATACTGCAAGTACTAACTAAAGGAAATATAGCTAATATAGTATAAACGCCTCTATCTACTTCTAATATATTTACCACCTCTGCCCGGCTTTCTAAAAAACAACCTAACCCTAATAAGTTTACAGGTAACTAAAAAAACCTCTGCCGCTTCCTTTCTTAAATCTATAAGAAAATAACTATTAACTAAAACCGCTTTCCTAACCCCTAAAGCTAAATATTCTATATAAACAGTTGTCTAAGTAGAAACCTGTATACTTAAGTCCTACCGTATATTATAAAAGGAAACTATTAACTACCTAATTTTAAAGCTATTCTAGAACTCTTAGAATAAGTATATAGAGACCCTAACTAAGTCCGCAACTTCTGCGCTAAACTGTTCCGCCTCCGCCAGAATAATAAAGAATTTAGCATTTTTTTTACTAAATTCTAACGCCTAGCTTTAGAAGGAGAGCTTTCTAAGAAAGCTCTACTAACCCTTTTAGAAAAAGCTATTAACCGTAAACTAAAGGAAATACTACTCTACTATAAACCCCCTAGCAGGAAGTACTATATATTTGCAAAGTTTCTTTAAAACCTAGATAACTGCTGTAAATAATATAAAGTATTTACTACTATAACCCTAAAAATATATACTAATATAAATTAAACCTATTAGGAAACACCTGTTCCTATAGGAATATAAACTGCTATACCTTAGTTATTACTAAGAGTATCCGGCGCTATAAAAATTATAGAAGTCTCCGGAGACCTAATAAATTTTTTAAAAGGTTACTTAACTTAATATAAAAGAAAGGAATATTACTATTACGGATCTAAGAAATACTTTATCTATAACTGCCCTTAGCCTAATAAATACTTTATCTGCTCCCGCCCTATTTATAAAAATATGTCCTTCCGGAGCCCCTTACCGCCCTCTACTAAATATAAAACCCGGATACTGCTAAAACCTGCTTCTCCCCTATTTTCTACTTTAATAAAAAAATTAAGCCTAATATAGGTTGTAGCTAGGCTTATATACTGCGCACTATATAAGTATCTATTGCTGCTATCTAAGGGATAACTATTAAAAAGGAACAGGTTATAAAAGCTAACCTGTTAATTATACCTGTACGTTTAGAATACTAGGGCTAGAGTATTCTAGCGTATAGTATAATTAATAGTAGCTATAAAGGGAAAGCGCTAGTTAATAAAAACTAGGTAAAGTATTACTGTATCCTAATAATTCCGCTTAAGTACCCTTTTTACCTAGAACTAGCTAATAGAGGCAATTCTAAAGCGGGTAAAGTAACCTATACTATTTAGGTTTAATTACGGATAAATAAATATTTAGAGACTGTTTAAATAGGGGTAACTAAACTAAGTTATTACCCGATTATTCTAGGAATCCTGTAGCTACGCCTGTATAATCCTATACCGGACTAGTCCCGTAATATACTATAGTTTATAAGCTAGTACTATTATAAACACTATAATATACTGTAAAGAGCAATACGTATATAAGGAATTGCTAATATTCTAAAAAAAAACCGCCCGGAGTACCTGCCGCCTGCACTAAAAAACCTAGAAGAGAAGAATATAGCACCTATTTCCTTACGCGTATATAGCGCCTACCTATAAAAAGGATATAAACTTTTCTCTATATTACTAGATAATATTAACTATATTCTATCTAAAAAAAAGAGCTTTAACCTAGACCGCCTGCCTAAAAAACTATAAAAGTTTACTAATATTTTTTCGCCTAAAAATACTAACTACCTGCTACTGCACCGCCCGTATAACTATAAGATTAAGTTAGAAAAAGGAAAAATGCCCTTCTTTAGACCCTTATACCTAATATTCTATAATAAGCTAATAGCTCTAAAAGAATAGGTAGCAGATAATCTAAAAAAAGGATTTATCCGCCCTAGCTTTTTACCTGCTGCGTTACCTATATTATTTATAAAAAAGCCTGGAGAAGGCCTTCGCTTCTGCGTTAACTACCGAGCGCTAAATACTATAATAGTTAAGGACCGCTACCCGCTACTGTTAATAAAGGAAACCTTAAGTAACCTAAAAAGGATAAAGTACTTTATAAAGATTAATATTATATCTGCCTTTAATAACCTATATATAAAAAAGGGTTAAAAATAGCTTACCGCGTTCCGAACCCGACTAGAACTGTTTAAAACCTTAGTAATACTATTTAGGCTTACTAGAACCCCTGCAACGTTCTAACAATTTATAAATAATACTCTATAAGAGCATCTTAATATTTTCTATACTACCTACCTAGATAATATTCTAATTTACAGCCGGAACTAAACTAAACACCTAGAGTATATCCGCACTATACTAAAACTACTATAAAAAGCAGGACTCTACGCAAAGATTAAGAAATATAAGTTCTTTACCGAAGAAATAATATTCCTAGGTATTATTATAGGAGCTAACAGCCTGTAAATAGACCTAGAGAAAATTAAAGCTATAATAGACTAGGAAATACTAACTTACCTAACTAATATATAAGCTTTTATAGGATTTAGAAACTTCTACTGCTAATTTATTAGAGACTTCTTAAAGATTATTACTCTGCTAGTACGCCTAATAAAAAAGGGCGTTGCCTTTATATAGAATGCTGCCTATTAGAAAGCTTTTACTAAATTAAAAAAAGCCTTTACCTCTGCACCT